AACCATAATGGATAAGTTTTTAAAAATTAAAAAATTGTCATTATGACTTTTCTTATACCTCTCCAATCAAATCTTTGTTTTTAGGGTTTTTTTTTTTAAAAAAAAAATTACATTCTATGGCTTAAATAAAAAAAATTATTTCATAAAGTTTGCTTTTGATATTGCCAATAATAAATCTTTGATATTATCTTTTAATCCATATTAAAATTAATTAATAAAAGATTTGTCATTTCAATCTATACCGTAAATAAGGTTTTAAAATTTAGTAGCATATAAGATAATTGACCATGATTCTTGTCATTTATCTTACATGCTATTAAATTTTTAAAAAATAATCCAATTATGTATATTTATTACAAATATATTATCTACTAATATATAATAAATTAATATTAGGATATTATAAAAATAATGAATTTTTTTATTATAAAGATAGAAATTATAATATTTTAAATAATTAAAGACCAAATTCCTACTAAATACAAATTATTAAATATATGCCAAAGTCATTCTATTGATATTACAATTAGTAATTATAAAAGTAATACATCTTAAATAAAATATATTTCTATTACTAAACTTTATTCTAAACAAGAAATAACACAAGCACATTCATAAGAATCATGATTTTATTTTTCTGAAGAAATTTAAAATATTACAATAGAAGAAGTTGTTAAATCTTCTCAATTTGATGATATAAAAAAAAAAAAACGTGTCAAACCTTATAAATATATTCTATAAATTCAATCTAGCATTAAAGCTTAAAAGCAATTGATTTAACTTTGTAACATAGAGATGTTATAAAAAATTAATATGACTACAACAGATACACAAGTTTGGATAGGCTCAAATGTCTACCAATAACAAAAGAAAACTTTTAAAAACCTAAATCAAAAAAATGTCTGGTTTAAGTCAAATGTCTTATTTAAAACAAATGACAATAGGGAGTTGCAGTAAACATGTAGAGATAACCAGTTCATACATTAAGACGCTTAATTTCTTATGTGTCTGTTGCAAGCAAGATACATAAAATTTAATCAACGAATATCCTGTTTTCTATTTTTATTTATAAATAAATAAATAAAAACTATCTTTTAAACACCTACGATTTCTATTGAAATGGGAGCAGCTCGGCGCTCCCACCTCCACTGACTCATTGCGGAGTCAACACAGCTCCGGAATCAAGGGCTCAGCCATCGCTACTCATCCTCAGATGTTCCCTGGTTCGTCTCCGATTCTACTCCCTGGCCCATCGAAGTAAACTATTTGAGTGCATCATCCTCAAGAGCACCATGGTCAATTCAAGTTTAAGCTCAAAATCTGAGAAAGCTTAATGATATTCGATTTTGACTGCGGGAGTGAAATGATGCTGCACTCATGCGGCTGATGACGATTCTCTGACTTTAGAAGACCAATATTAATGCAACTGAGGCGCGGAGTCGTCAAGCATTCGGCAAATCCACAATGTCTCCAATCTCGCGGAGACACCCAATGCCTGCAGCGCTACTCAGGCGCTTGAGTCGTCTAGATATCCGCTGCGTAAACGCAAATTATGCCGCTGCTCTCCATCAATGCTCTGACTTTAATTTGGGGGCGTCCCCGAAACTTATTGCAGCGGCGGCCATCGCGCGTGGTCATAGTCGATGTCGTCGAACGGTGACAAATTTGCACACCAGGGTCAATGGACACACATCATGGTTGGAAAGGAATTATGTTTTGTGAATTAATCCAGCTCCGTGTGAAGAGTTCACAGAACATCAAATCTGCATTTCCTCTGTTGTAAGTCACCTCATCATCCCAAGTTTCTCGGATGAGACAGAGAACCGCCACTTAAAGGTGGATAGAGAAAATCAACCTGACCTCCGCAATGGCTTGTAGATAGTTGACAAGAAGATACTATTCGATGCACCTACTTATCCTGTGACGATAAGAGAATGCAGCATGCTGTGTTGTGGGGGCGCGGGATCTCCAGTGGGATCTCCAGTGGGATCTCCATGGTGCAATATCGTCATCAAGAATGCATAAACTCATCATCGATGCAAAAGAAAAACCTCTCTAGTGATCATTGAAGCACCCGTTTGTAGCAGAAGACACCCTTCGAGGCAGGCCTTGAAGGATGCAACTGTCCCTGAGCCGGGCACGACGTCGGCTGTGCATTTCACGTAGGATAGGTGATGGTTGTGGTGCAACGCTATCTATATATATATATATATATATATGACTTTTTAAATATCTACTGAAATACAATTGTTAAAAGGTGACTATTAACTTCATTCAATTTCCTAATTGACTAAATTCTAATTTATATGTGATCTGTTAAGTTTTTTGAAACGTTATTATTTGTATTTTTTCAAATATTTTCTAATTAATGAGTGAATTTTATTTAATTTATCTTAAATATTTGTCAAAAGACTTATTTAAGAATATCTCAAAACATTCAATCAACTATATATTAGATTTTCACAATATTTGTAATAATTTGATATCATAGTTCATTTATGTTAAAATAAACTTAGACAAAATATATATATATATATATATTTGTCATAAGTTTTTTTTTCATTGTTGGCATAGATGTGCACACTGGTGTTTTCTTATTGTGGAGTGGAGAGTACACAAAATTGGTTTACTAGAGTACATGGTTGTCCAAGTAGAATGCTGCAGAAATTTTTCTCATAGTTGAGCACAAGGGAGTTTGTTAAATAGTTATACAAGTCTGAGGACACTCACTGACCATAACACTGACAAGACTCATCCAAGTACTTAATTGGAGAGAGGCAGCGTCATGAATGCGCATATATTAGTCGATCTAAGTGCAAACGATTTGAACTTGCCATCAAGATATAAATGTAACAAATACACTACTGTGATGGACCTACAAATACCAGGTCATGAATCGCTTTCATATGTAAGGGAGCGTGAATTTTATTTTATTTGATATATATAAATATATATATATAGTAAATATTAAATTAATTGATAGCGCAATTTAATATAAGATATATCAAATTCTTATTTATTCCTATTGAATGGTTGTGGACAAGCGTTCTATTTAAGTAAAATTAAAAGGCTTCAAAATTTAAAAAGTAAATTAGATCATTTTCTATATATATATATATATATATATTCTGTTTTATTAAAAAAAACATTTTGAAATGACTTTAAGATCTTTAGGTCATTAGTTTCATGTGGAATATTAATCAATGCTTTATAGAATAATAATCTAAAATTTATTGTATTTTAAGATCCTCCATTTTTTAGTATGATTAGGAATATTGTTGTAACAAAAAAGTATTATCACCATACACATTTGAATATTTTAAGAATTCTATAATGTAAATAAAGTGCTCATATAAAAATTTATAATTTTATATTTCTCTTAAATTCAAATAGTAAGACTAAATTCAAAATTTTAAAAGATATTTGATTTCTAACAATTCAACTTTATTAATTAAATTTTATCTGATGTAATTTTATTTATGCATAATTTATAAATTAAATTAAATTAATAATATCAAAACTAAAAATTAAAATAAAACTAAGGTTTGAAAAATTAAAATTAAAATTAGAAAGAACTTTTTGCTTAAACTTGCTTAGACTTTAGTACAAGATATACAAATGTTTTTTGGAAATTAAATTTTTGTAACTAAATTTGGATGTGTATTTTGTTGCACAAACTCAAAGTTAATGGGCCTATTATAGACTAAATTTATATCATCCGTAAATAACATATATGAAATATATAATAATTTAAAGTTGATTATTACCACAAAATTTATAAAATTCAACACTTCTTACATACTTGAAAAAACAATAATTCTTGTGAAACCACTATCTATGATTTAGACCTTAATTTTTACAAATTAATAATTATTTAACTAATTTGCCTCTAACTTGCATCTCATAGACAAATTCTTAGTAATTCTACTCATTATACTTGTAAGATAAGGGATTAAAATTATAGAAAAAGTATGTATTTCAGTTTTTCTTTAATTTCTTTTTGTTCTATTAGGAGTATAATTGCAAAATCTTGCAATAACAAGTGCAATAACTAAAGCTTTTAATAGTAACAAAATTATTCCTCTATTTTATTCTTTTCTATAGTATTATAAAATTGATTAACAAAAAAAATTTAAAAATAAATTAAACTAAATTAAATACACTTGTTATTCAACTTTCAATTCAGCAAACACGATATACATAGTTATAGATGATATATCTGCATGCAAAAACAAATCTCACTTTTTTGATGATTAAAGTGTTACTGTTTTCTTATTACTTAGAAATTCATAACTTTTATGCATGGCTCTAGGTAATCTTTGGCATTCTAAAATAAATAACAAACTAGTCAATTTTCCATTTAATATCGGCAAAGCTATATATGTCCTCAACATCACCATAGAATACCTCCTATATCTGAGGTAGGATGCCAATGCCACAAGTGGTGCTGGGTCACAATATAGTGTCATTTTTGTAAAAACTTAATAAGACTCTTGTAACAAGCTAGCTACTAATAAAGGAATATCCCCCAATTTATTTTCAAAATTTCGCAATTTTCTTCCAAACACCGAAGGTGTGCAACTTTGCAGAACGTTGCAGAACTACATTTTTGTTCTGTAATGAACAGTCAGCCCAGATTGTTACAAATGGACCTTGCATAAACAAACCCTATATTACGTGAAAACTTTTTTGACATAGAGGTACACAGCTTTAAGTACAGAAATACACACTATACTACTCTCTGCAGCAAGATAACTTTCCCCATATAGACATACTTTAGAATGAGACAAATGGAGAGATAACACAAATATTAGCAAAAACATCCATATTCGCTAACACTGACTGCACTCGTAACACAGAATGAAGGCTCTACCATGTACATTCAATATTTAAACTATCAGCTGAAAATGATAAAAATAAAAAAAAACGGGTCACATCGAATGATACTCGAAAATAATAATCCTCAATATCAAGCAAAACTATTTGTCAGCACCACATACTTGAGTGAAGGCCCAACAGAAATGGCAAAAAGACTGGTTAAGGCACTGTCTTTACATTGCCAACTGGTTGAACGGTCCAATACATCAACACAGGGGCTGTGCTGCTCAGGGTCTATTCGAGGCAAATTACCTGGGGAACAAAGTTATGAATGCTGATAACAAAAAGTTGGGGAAGCAACTAGCAACTAGCAACCACTAAGCCTTCACCAACAGAGAAGTTCCAACACTAGGAAAGTATCCTAGCAATTAGAAAGTTCTAACCTTCCTGATAACACCCGCGAAACATCTTCAAAGAATGTCAAGGACGTCTACTAAATTACAGCTTACAACGTTCAATTCGTCAACTTTTTTTGTTCCAACCAGAGAGAAAGGGGTCCACGTAAAACCAGCATTTTGAACAAATAAAACGGAATGACATGGAGGAATGAATTGGAACTCATGTTGTACGGCAAGCATGAGTAGTGCTGCAGTCGACATTGCTTTAGAACTAGGTAGCAGACAATTTAATTCAGGTCCATGATGTCTCCAGCTCCCAGCGTGTCACTCTCATGACGCACTGCATTGTACTTCTCAGCAAGTGGACCTACCTTCACCACATGGTTCATGAAAGCCTTGAATCGAGGTGTAGGCTCGCCACTGCCAGATACATCGACAGTCAGACACGTTTATAACTCTAAAACCACAATTTTCCCCATTGGACTAGCGGGTTTGCGTATGTAAATATGTGTGTGTGTGTGAGTGAAGTTAAGGCTAGGATACTTTCCTCAGAATACTCATTAACTCTACTTGAGGAAAGGCCAAGCAAATTCCTTTAGATGCAGATACTTCATGTAACATGCACTAGATATGCAAACCTACCTTATCCGATTTAGTGAGTCAATTGCACGAAGAGCACTTCGGATCATATCTTCATTGCGATCAACCTCTTGCTTCACAGCATCAGCTTTCGTTTTGTGTTGAATTGTTTTTTCCAAGGGCTCCACAAGCGCATCCATCACTATATCATGACAAACGTTGTCATACTTAAACATGATCAGTATTTCAGGAGTATCTCGACTTAGTCTAAAATCAACTGAAGTACAGTGATCGAAACCTATCTCAAACCCAAAATTCAAATGTCAGAAATTACCAGCTAGAACTGCACCCCCACACTTCGCGGATAATTTTGACAAGATAAGGTGGCAGGGCATTTTCACATCATAATGATCTGCACAAACAAAGTAGCGGTGAAATATTGTTCTGAGTACAGCATACTTAAAAATGACAACATCAAAAAAATACTGTCTTCATGCTCAATTCAAGCCAACAATTCGAAAATGTTGGATGTGCAACATTAGTTGACTTGGCAATCGAAACTCTAAATAATAACTGCATAAAAAAATGGATCGGAAGGCCTAGGAACAGACCTGCTAAACCAGAGAGCAGGTGAGGAGTGATGAAATACGAAGGATCAATCTGGTCGAGGCAGCTGTCGAGCAAGGTATCCACACATTCAAAAGCCCCCTTTCTGAGTTCTAGTCCATCATCCACAATATGCTTGAAAGGTCCAAGATCCACGGTTCTGATGAGCTCTTTCTACAAACCAACCCACGTTTAACACATATTGGCAAGCCAGAGCGATTAGTGAACTCCTGGCAATAACCAAGATTAGCACATACCAGTCATAGAGAATAAATGAAACGGAAAGCTGCACAAGAACCTAACCAAAACCAACAGTACGATAACATCAAAATCAAAATCCAAATCAAAAAGAAATCCCGTACTAAGTTCTTTTGTCATGGACAAGTACATGAGCACTACTGGGAATAAATTTAATTTTCAAGAATACACCAAATAGAGAGATGAGAGCTGGTGCACCTTGACCACTGTTTGATCATAGAGGAGTGGCAATAGAGTGGGCAGTAAATCTTTCACTAGCGCTGGCTTGTTGTGAGCTGCCGTACTCAACGCTGACACTGCAGCCCTTCTTACATGCTGCAATAAAACTCATGCCAGTCAAAAAACCGTGGAAACATGATGGTAATCACAAATTGTCCTCCGCACAAAATAACTTGTTGCACACCAGGCATCGTAGTCTACATCAAAGAAAAAAGCATGAGATTCAGAGGGATCAATCTATGTCTGAACATGGAGGCATATATAAAATTTAAGACAGTGCAGTGTTTTTTCCTCATTGTCAAAAGACTAACCCTGTCTTCGTCCTTGATAAGTAACAGAAATGATGAGATACATGACTTGATGTAGGAATCAATAGGTTGTGGTCGCTCAACGATAGTGAATTTTATTGCTATAACAACTGTTGCTCTAGTGTAAGCTGATGGACTCGCTGTGCGTTCCTGCAACGGTATGCAAGTGAGAAACATCAGACAATGGCTTAAAACAGTATCGAGATATATACTTTCTAGAATTGATGGTAAGAGTGTAAGATTGATAACATTTTTCAATTAGCTCAGGCGAACAGAGCATGGCAGAACCAACCTTGAGAGCAGGTACCAATTTCTCCGGTTCAATAAGCGCCAGTTTTCCCAGGCACTCCGCTACAACATTGCGTACCCCCTCCTCTTCACTCTCGCAATGTGTAAACAGTAAACTAAGGATTTTCTGAACATCTGCGTCTTGCAAATCCATTTTTCCTTTTGCCCCACCATCCATGGATTGGCGCGCTATGACCTGGCACCAACCTCGATAAAATTACTACAACCCTTGTTGATATTGGAAAGTGGAAGAAAGATACCGAAGAGAGAAATTCCATACCTCCTTCAAAGAATGTAGTAGTAGATACTGAAGTTTAGCCTGGCGATCGATTTGGGTAAGGATGAGAGACAGATACTGGGCCAAATTACCGACGGCGATATTACCCAAAGCAAACGATGCGGCTGCCTTGATCTCCTCAGATGGGGACTGAAAAGAACCAATCACTACCAATTCAATGTTGGAGTGACTACTCAGGTCCTTTCTTCTCCCAATCTCACCCAAGCATAACAAGGACAACAACTGAGTCTGTAAAGATGCAAGTAAATCAGTCATTAGTAGTTTTCCAACAAATAAACGACACGCACTGGGTCATTAAGCAACAAGATTCCTTTTAGGCGGTTATACAGCATTAACATACATAAATAAATTTAAAGACTCTAAATCAAGTAACGAAACATCCAGAAAAATAAAGAATTTTTTGATTGTGAAAGTCTAGAACTTACTGCATCTGTGCCATTGCTACTCCTTAACGTGGTAATCAACATGCTCACAGTCTCAGAGCACATTGCGTCCCCAGCTGCCAGACACAACACAGCTGCACATTGCGCAATAGAATGGAATGCCTGTTTGCTGGCAGGACCCCCAGGGGATGCACTCCTTGCAGTGGATAGTAAAGCATCTAACAATACATCAAAACTAGTGTTTGCTGATTGTACCAGAGCCGCAAAAAAGGCTTGAAGTGTCTGATATCCATGATGTTCCACAACATATTTATGTTAGTCTGGGCAATATATTGTATTATTTACACTATTACAAACTACAACAGCAGACTGCAGTTAAAATGTCAGAATTCCTCAATCTGCAGCTATGCGCTATTTCTACTCTATCAAGTTGCATCCACAGAAGTAATTGAACATTCTAAAATGAGATAATACACAACATACAACGAGATCTGTTAAGCTAACCACCACATTAAAGTATCAAAAGAGTCAGAAATCCACCTGCAACGCTTGACCCTGAAGTAACGAACTTTTTACAAGAATAAGAGCTTGAGGCAACACACGTTCCCGAATAGCAGCACCTGCATTAGCGTGGTGCTTTTTATCAATCATCATGGTGCAGCATAATTCCAATGTTAATGCTGTCATATGTAGGTCTGCATCACTGCAAAATTCACAACCACAATGAGCAATCTTAAAAACGTTAAGCATCCAAGAACTGTTAATAAAAGTACATATTCGTTCCTTCTGGTCAGCCACCCTAACTAATGCACACTTACTACCTTCTTCAGTTAACAAGCAAACAATTGAAATAAAATACTCACCTAATAAGGGAGGATAATTCTGTGACAATAGATTCGTAGCTGGCCGGGCTAATTTTGCTGCTGTAAGCGGTAAGCAATGAATTCAATGTGACCAACGAGGCCTGTCGCAGAGCTCGGTTGGCCTGTCAAAAATGAAGCCCAATTAGAAGAGGTGACGCAAAATCACAACTACCTTTACAATACAATTCATCTAATACTGCGAAGGACTACAAAAATCCGTAACACCTAACAGAAATTTCGTTTTACGGATACCTTGCGCAAGAATGTTGTCAGTTCCGTAACAACTTGCTCTAAGACTGAAGATAAGTCTATGTTCAAAGAAGATTCAGCGATAGTAGCAAATGCCTGCATACAAGCACAATTATGTAAACAAACTTCAGAAGACTTGTGGCTAAAATCAACCAAACCATTCTATAAAGGTTTGCGTACATAGAATCAGAAAAGGGCAAAACGTCGTTCAGTGTCGTTAATACACTTACCTTCACAGCTGTGAGTCTTGTAATTTCATTGCGTAATCGCTCTAACAACAATGGCAAGCATGTGCCCATCTCGTTCTTAAGATGATCTCCAAGAATGGAAATAACAAGTCCCATGCAAGATATTGCACATTCCTTAACTTCCTGAAATCCTTCCATTATATTAGCTCCAATACAGTGTTAATGACTGCCCTAAAAAGGATAATGGAGCAAATAATTCCTCCTTCTGAAGGGATGTCAGCCCGGGAAAGCGAAAATAACAGAAAACTAAACTAAACTGATAATTTGAAAACGCTTGATAATTACGCTACTCATACTGAAAGGTTACAAACCTGGTCTTGGTCTTGAGCAGTCAAGCGCTTGTAGATGTTGCTGTAAATAGGATGCACAAACGGTACAAAGTCGAAAGTAGGGGGCTGCAAGAGCGTTTGGAAGAGGTAAGTTGTTGAGAATCGCCTAAGGGATAGATGCAACCATTCAATTGATACCATCTCGCTACAAGTATCCAACCAAACAGCTCAAAACCTTTGAACGGAATTAGCAGACCTCAAAAACATAGAGGGCTTAATAAAACACCTCAAAAGCTCCGACATCGTCTGTAGAATTGCAATACAAGAACAAAAAATTTGGAGGTTCCTTACAGTATCGAAATTAGGGCGGATGGCTTTGACAAGCTCTCCGCAAACTCTTAAAGCCTCTGCAGTCACTTTGTAATATCTCTCTCCTACAGCAGCAAGCACAGGTGCTGACAGGGCCTAAAATGGAGACAAGTTAGATAATGCTACAAAAAACAATTTCCCACAGATTCAGACCCTTTCATAGCCACGACCATCTGCAGTAGGAAACCCCACTCTCCATGAGCGTTAGCGTAGCTACACTAACAAAACTAAGGGGAGACAGTACCAAAACCACCAGAGATACCAATCTGCAGAAATGAGTAATGTTGATGACAGTGATGGAGGAGCTTCAACATTTAATACCTTGATGTGGGGGTGAAACACTGCTGATGAATGAGAAGCCATAACCAGTCGGGTAAATACCAACGCTTCAATCTTCAAGTTAGAATTTGATGCCTTGTCCTGAGCAATCATGATAGGATACGAGTCATAAAATCAACTAAGCAAACTCAAATAAATAAGCATTAATACCGTAATCGTCACTTACGTTCAAAGCCTTCTCGATGCCTGGAACTAAGGAACCCATATGTTCAGATAGGGAATTGGGTAGCACAATGACCAGCTCCTTCAACACAGAGAATGCCCCCACCTACATTGCAACCACAGAGCGGCCGATTCATTAGATAGTCAGCATCTTCGGAGGTAATTACGCTTCGCTTCATCGAAGCCTTTAGTGATGGCCCTTAATTAATAAGCCTACTCACATTAGCGACTACAGCAAAAGGTACAAATTTCCAGAACGGGGGCATTAACGAAATAAGAAGAATCTAGATACAAAAGCTCGGGTACACCTTCGTCTTTAAAGATTTTTCACGAAGCTGCTTGTTGAGTGACTTGACAACCTTCGGTACTTCTTGCTGCAGGATATGCAAAGGGCTGACACAGTCCAGATGAAACAACCTCAAATTCTGCTGACTCATAAACTGTAATAAAAGAAGACACCAAGAAATAATGCTAATAACAGAAATGCTTTCTGCTGTCCCAGCTCATGGAGTAAGCTAGGACTAAGTTAGGCACAAGGTGAATAGAGAACCTAGATGGATTAGCGATGCATCCAGAGCCTTTGGTCACATTTGCTGTTTGCCGAAGTAGATCGATAAAGGCATTGAAGACATCGATCTGACAATAAGAAAAAGTCAGTTAATAAATGGACAAAATTACATTATCAACCGATCCACTGCAAAAATGCTTAACAATATGTACCTTCACATTTTCCTCCCTCTCCTTGAAGCGCTCAACCAATTTTGGGCTGGCCTGAATCACAACATAAAGATAATGTTAGAATCGCAAATTACGCCAAAACAAACAATATTCACTGATCATGCTACTCCCCATAATCAGCTATTCAGAGATTTTCCCATGAATTTCAGCACGACATCCAATGCCGTTATGAGCAGTCATTTCCGTAGGGTAAATGACAAATACGAAACGCCATTCTAGAACACACTGCATATACGATAGTCATGCTTGAACCTCACAAGACTGTGCAAAGAGTCTACGGAGTAAAAGGAAGAAAAGAAGAGCTCAAATTGTCATACTTTAATATAGAGGGTGCAAATCATCTCAGGTCTCGAAGAGATTACAGCCGATAAGCACTTAGCTGCAGCCCTTCGTACTTTCCAGCTCATATCTTCATCATCACTATACTCATCTGCACTCTCCCTGCACAGAAACGCAGATAGTTAAATCTCCCGTCGAAGACATGAATGATAAGAGTGAAACATCAAGAGATGCAGTTCTCAAGCTTATTCTGCAAGTAAGGCAAGACGAAGGTAACAACGAAGTTGCAAATTCTTCTTCTAAGATTTCATTGACAACATGACAGAAACATTGATGGATGTTTGAGGTTGATAGTTAGTATCCCCATACTATCAGCTGCAAGACAAATTTAAGCCCCTCAAGAAAATAATCAAGCGTTATCAACTTGACTTGCTCATGTATAGTCATGAATGCAGTAAAAGTGGGTTGGAGAATTATCCCTTACTCGTCTTCATCTTCTTCACCATCCGTAACCTCATCCTGATCTTCATCCATATCATCCGTAAAATTGGGATCGTAACTCAAATACTCCAGTGCCAGACCCAAGATTAAGTCGGTGTGAGGAGAAACATCTCTAGGGCAGCGTAAAATGAAAATTTCTAATGCCTGACACGACACAAAAGCCCAGTGAATGATAAGATGTAATAACTGCCAATTTCAACAGCTCGGCACAACATAAAATCCCAATTTCCAAACACTGGTAGCACAGCAGTACTGCCTCTCAAATTTTATGTACATACAGCCGCCCATCAATAAGTTTCTCTGCAAATAACCTTGCATAATCGCCTCTCAATGCATACAACCATGAGAAGGAAAAATAACAAAAAGAATACAAACACACAAACAAACGAAGTGCGTGAACAAGATACCGTTGTGTGTGAGGTTATCTCATTAACATGCTCTAGAGCCGAACTATGAATGCATACTGCCATGTACAAGACATCTATAGCAACCAACGTTCAAGTACAATACCTGTAATATATTCTCTCGAAGTTCATCATCGTTCTCGGATGCATTATGGCAGTAGCTAATAAGAAGTGGGACAACTTCATTTAAATGTGGACCAAAACGATAACCAACCGCACGGCTGTAGACAGGACACGCAACTTGACGTGTTAACTTAGCATTAACATAAACCATTATTACAACATCAAATCAACAAAATTAAGAACATTACTAGTGATCCCTTCGTACTTACCAAAAACCTAACCCTTGAAGCGCGACAACTAAAGCCCCAAAGAAAAAAGGTATTGACGAGGATAACTACTTCCAAAGACCAATAACTACACGAAAATAGTAACTCCAGCATCTTATGCAACCCTATAATCGGAGATTAACCCCTTAATGCACCTGCCGTAGTCCTAATTTATATAAATTCTGAATAAAAGGTCACAAAAATATCGTGATGATCACATGATATAACCCAAAAACCCTTAAGGAAGGAAAACGATGTTGGCGTTCTTACCAGAATGCCCCAATCATCTGAATATTTGTGCGGGTCATGTCTGGCTTCACATCTTTGTTTTTCAGTAACTGAACGACATTTACAGTAGCTCTTGCAAGAAGGTCATCAGACATGGTGGCAGCCAAGGTCGCTGCATAGAGAAGCTTAAATCAGCCCAAGTGCAAAGTTCCGCAAGAAGGTTAATATGAGCAAATCCAATTCTGACTTGATATTCACCGTTCTATCGCATGCAAAGTTACATCAGTATCAAGACATTTTGCACAATGACCTTACATACTTACCGAGACACTGAATGGCACGCTTTCGGAGCCCTGCACGTTGCAAATTGAGTTGCACCAAGAGCGCATTCATTAATTTCTCATGATCTGCAGTCATGAGACTTCCAAAACAATGGAGTACATCACACAAGATGTCCAGGCACTCGCTCTTCACCTCTGTACTTGTATCCTGCATGAGCCCTCGTAATTGAAATATTTTACAGAATTGGGTGACATATTAAACAGATTTCAACTATAAGTTACACTAAATACGTATTCAAATAGATTCAAAGGACATCGAGACAAACCGGATTAGTAATGCCCTTGATCATCTTCGGTGTGAGGGAGACAACAACACATTGTGCAACATTCCCAGTGGAAATCTTAGCCACTACTGTCTTCAGTGCTATACTTGCAATATCTCGCTGTTGCTCTTTACCAGTGAGGAGTTTTTGGCACAAGGACTCTACAATCTCCACAACTCTACCTTCATGGACCTTTTTCACCAATGGCGCCAAGCTGCATTAGAGAGTTAAACAAAATCACATAAATGACCAAATTTTCGTTGGAAAAAATACCATGAATCATAAAGCATCTATAAATTAATAATACTAATGAAGATACTCGCTTAAAGATGCTACAGCGAATACTTTCAGCTCCCCTATTATATCCTATGTTCATTGGTTATTTCGGTTGACGTGAAGACCCAGGCTTTATTTGACGACTATAAAAAATGAAAAAAAGATTGAAGACATAAGTGATGGATCTTTGAATTCTACAAGTCAAGGGTGACTTCAATCTTAAGAATGCGTCATAAAAGTGAGAACTGGAAATTGTGAGGTGTCTTGAAATTCCCAATTAAAAAATAAAAAATAAGATAGTATGTCAAATCACAATTACGATTAAGTCAAAGATTTGCCAGAAAATAGCTCGAAAAACTTACCACTTGACTGCAAGCCCTGAAATGTCCCCAGAAGCATCGTCCAGTTGTTGAAGAACAATTTGTGAAACTTTGCGTTCAGTATCTGTATCTAACTTAAAGTTATCTTTCTGAAGCTCATTCAGCAGGTCAGATGTGGCCATGTATCGGAAATCCTTGTCTTTTGAGGCAATCTGAACCAGCAACCAAAATCATCAGCCACAAAAAACTTTAAGGAACGAGTATATACACGCTGTTTGTTGAGAGATGTACCGCAAACAAAGTGAAACCCTCTCATCCCAACGCTAATACTAGGTGAACTAGTATAGTTTTAGGAAAAGCATACATCAATCAATTTCATCGTAATGCCATGCCGCCAATCTAAGATATCGTAGGAGACGACTTCATCTAGTTCAAAACCATCTATGTCGAATTGATGGTTCCTTATTTAGTGACATGAACAAATTCACAATGACCAATTCACGGCGCAATAACTCATTAATTAGAGAGGAGAATGTATAAAAAAGGAAACGAAAATATCGAAAGCTGAACCGATTGAACTTCAAGGCCCTGGTTTCTGGGAATGTGTAAAGGTCGAGTTCCAGATACGAAGCCTGTCCACCCATACAGAACTACTAACGGAGATTTCTTACCACCAAATAAATAGTAAAACATAGAAGTCCATACAACTCAAGGGGTGGGATAAATGGGAACAAATGAAACTAGCTTAAAAGTAGGATGTGAAAAGCCAAAGGACATTTACAGGCAAAGCAAGCTCGATAATGGATGCTAACAGCCGAGAGATGTTTAGATGTAACAGAAGGTGAGTGAGTGTAGAGTGAGAAATATGTATTTCTAAACGTAGCATATAGAAGGATAGAGAAGAGTATTTACCTTCTCTAAAATCAGGCCCACTGCAAGACTCGCCATCTTGAGAGAATCTGTCTGACCTGCTACTTGTTGTTGATTGCACCAAGCCTTTACAGAATAACCTTTCCTGCCAAAACCTCCTGCTGCAGATCAAGTCAACACATTGATGAAGAGCTCACTTGTAGTTGGATACAAAGCCTGAAGACGTAGCTCAACCAAAAAAAATCTGCATAAACATGTACAAAGTATGACTATTTCCAGTACAATAAGTGCACACGTATATAGAACGCTTACTTCTCTCTATTTTATATAAACTCGGACCAGGATAACAATGCACAAGAAAGGTACATGCCTAAGGTAATGACATTAAATATCAAACACTTCAGAAATGTCGCTGCACCAGCTAACAAGCTGCAGCATAACCTCCGCTGTTATCTTCCCTCATTGGTTCATTTAAAAGTATAACCTAACCAATAGAAGGAGAAAAACATAGTCTGTCAAGTTTGGTTCTGTGCTAAAACCCTAATCTTACACTACTTAAATGGCATCCTGCGACGAAAAGTTGAGGGTGAGGTATCATATCGAATCTAGAGCAATGCCCTCTGTAGGGAACCAACAGGTAGTCCAAAATAATGACATTATCAAGATGAGCCTTAAAACCTGTAAATGACCGATTGAAGATAAACAACGCCACGTGACCAATTTCCGATCGAGGTGGAATTGTAAGACCAGTGCTCAAAATCTTGCATCTCAGAACGTACAGGAATCTAATTATCTCGCGGATTGAAATTCAGAATATGGGCGAACCAATATAAGATGAGGAATCATCACCAGTTCTCCTATTTCAAAGCTCTCCTTCAAGTCACGCATCGTCACAGTGTGTCTAATTGAATATCGACCTCCAGAATCCGATTGAATACATCCGTCCATCTAAAAAATCTCACAGGCAACTAACTCTTTCAGGTCACCCAGAGTCTTCTGCAATTTGCGTTACAATGAAAGAAGGGAAAAACACGTTGATTTTTCCACATTACTTAAATAACACCACTCTCTGGGTTCGATATGCTTGATCTGCATCCGATTCAATACACTCCACATTGATTGCTCCTCCACAAACAACTACTACAGCGCGGATCGCTTCCCCATCTCGTCCCACAAGACATCCAAAATCAAATGCACCTGAAGACCTCCTCACACTCCCACTCTCCCCAATACAGTCGCAACATTATATAACTAAACACCAATTCAACCTCCCATACCACTCTCCACCAAACCCTAATAATCTCACATACAGACCACACACTGTCTGAAAACAACCTCAAACTCACATTACCTGAACAAAGGAACATCCACCGGAACAAACGCTCCCAGCTGCAGAAAGAAGAAGGAAAAACAAAAAAAAAACAAAAAACAAAACAAAACAAAACAAACAAACAAACTCCAACAAACTCGCTCAGGACCAGCAACACCTCATGCGGTAAAATTGAGCAACCTCTAGAGACAGGACAGGGCAATAGCAACAGCAGGGAGAGGAGTCATTGCATTGGGATGTGGGACCTAGCAACAACCGCAGCAACTTCCGTGCACTATGGATGAAGCTATTGTGCGACTTGGAGAGCTCGGTTCCTCGAACTCCGTTAGAGCATGAGCTCAAAACTGTGAGGAGCTCAGCTTGGTGCGAATGCAGAATTAGGGTTTCGTTTCAACGTCTCTGCCAGCGAAGAATCCGCGATGCTCTGCTTCTTGCGAACGAAAGCTGGATGTATTATTTTCGTTGCCTGTGTTGGGCTTCTCATTACTTTCATCCGTTACTTCTTAATTCGCCTTATGACCTTGTTATGTAAAGCAGTACTTCTCATAATAATAACAATGTTTTCTAGAATCTTCAATACTTTGAATTCGATTCTTGAAGAGTGATTTCGTATTTTAATGGATAGAATTTTCTTCACTTATAATTCTAAATTTTAAGTTGTGTTAAACACAATCAAGTAATTTGATAGTATTTAAATTAAAACAAGATGTATTATTTTTTAATTGCAATTAGAAGATTGCAATGCAATATCAACAATGTTTTAGGCACAAATCAATCTTATAAAAAAAATACCTATGTTTAAGGTTATTGTTGCTATTCACAATGATAAGAAACAAGAATAGAAGACAAGAGTTGGGAATGGGGATGGAGAGGTTGGGATGGGAAACATAGGCTTAGAATGGGGGACTAAGATAGCTAAACTATTCTCAACCACCTCCCTCCCCCATTTTTACTTCACCTAAAGAGAGGAGTATTTTTGATCAACTTGATACAATAATAGTGATCAATTTTGACACATTTTGGTTTCATATTACATAATTTATATTTTGTCTCAATCCCATGGCACCATTAGAAAAGAAATTAAAAATTTCATGCCAACTCAAAAAGTTTGGCTAGTATCAAGCATTTTCAATTTTGTAACCAACCAGTTGTTGGAATTAGGTTGATTTATATACTGGATTTGTATAAAAACATAATTTTAAGTTAGAACATTAATAGTCATTTTTATTTTTAGGCAAAATGATGTGAAAACACCTCAAATCCTTTTGATTTCTATTTCTCTAGATATTTATTTATTTATTTTACTTATATATATATATATATATATATATATATATATTTGTTAAAATTCCTAAGTTATCAGAAATATATCAGCTACCTTAGGAATAAGGATGGGAGGTTGGGAACTTGGAATAGAATGAATTAATCATGGAAATCCAAGGAGGTGTTGTATTAACAACATGAGAGTGTTGCTTTAGGAACTACTTTTTTTAAAACTATTTAGATTATAACTCTTTTATTATTTGGTTGTGTGTATTGGAAGAAATATAAGTTTAAAGTAGATTACATTACATTAAAAAAAAAAAAAAAAAAAAAAAAGTAAAAAAACCATAATATTACACCTCAAGATTAGATTAAGAGTATTATAAATAATTAAATAAATAATTTTTTAAAATATTTTCTAAAATGAGAATAGAACCTCACCAAAGTTAAAGTTTTTTGAAACCAAAAGGCATGCGACTTTTAAAGAGAACACCACAGCCACCAATGTTTATTTGCTCAAGGTCTTAAACTTTTTTCAATAAGATGGTGAAGGCTATCAAAATTGCAAAACAAGTTTACACTAACAATTTAAAGAGCAAGTTATCCAAAAATTTAGCAAAATCCATTACAATAAATATAGATTTTTCTAAATTTAAATTTTTGGGTCAATCCGTTTGGTTCTAATTATGGTTGATTAAGAAGAACACAATTTGAAGCCATTTAGAATGGAATATTTTACAAGTGATAAAATAGTAGAAACATATAGTTTTTACAACTAAGGTTGAATTATATGATATAAATAACTTTTCAAATTCATTTATTGTAATGGCAAATTTATAAAACAATACATGTTTGAGACAATTTATATAGTGGTTCTTACTTATTAAGCATAATTTCAATCAATTTTGAAAATCAAAATTTTTAATTCTAATTTACTTAACTATTTTCCATGTACATTGGAAAAGAGGTCAATGTTAAAATTAAGAAGAAAAGAGCTAAAAGATTTACAAAAGATGGAAAAAAGTTACATATTAGAAGTAGAACTCATTATATTTTATAAATTGCAACACATCTCATGGTCAAGAAATTGTTTAACAAACACTGTCCTTGTGCATATGTCAATTATAACTATTACAACACATGCTTACCAGTTTTATATATTCTAAAGTGTATGTCTTTGTCAAGTTCACCCGAAGAATCTTACGCATTCATTGCGTTAGTAGGTAAAGAAAGCATTAAATGATGTGGGAGGTGCATTTAGTAACTACGAGGTCGAGGAAGGCAGGGCACCGGAACACGGTAGGGTAATGTAAATCGAAAGTGGTGGGCCCCGCGAATTCGAAACCGACCACCGCCACAAACATCACCATCGCGCCACCTAGCTGGGACATCACGCCACGCTTCGCCACTCTAGGCCTCTCTTCTCTTCCCGTGCTTTCCTTACCTTCCCTTCATTTGGTAATTGTTGTTTGTCTTGGAGCAATCGAATTTGTCTTTCGGAGCGCGCTGTTGTTGCGAGCGAGGCCATTGCTGCTTGTTTTTCTTGGTGAGGACAATTTGTGTTTATTGTTGTTCTTTGGAGACCGCCGCCCTCCTGGCATGTAGTTTCTCAGTTGAGATTGCTCTTTGTGATTTGATGCGAACCGTTTGTTTGTAGATATGGCATTGTAGTAGTGACCATCGCATTTCTGTGTTGATGGTGTAATTGAGTAGTGCGGCTGGACAGTAGATGTGATCGTATTGACTATGGGAATCAAGTTTTAGGCAGAGGGTCCTATGGTTGTACTCTGTCGTTGGTTTTTGGCGAGTTGTTTTGATAAGGATTTTGTAGTGCAGTTGTAGTTTTCTGTAGTCTTGTATTAATGCTCTCCTACTCTCTAATTAACGTGACTTTACAGAAGCAGTTCCTTGATTGTGTATCTGCTGCAAGGACTTTCAAAGTCTGGCTTGACCTTGTGTTCTTCGGGTCTTTAATCTGTTTAGTTTATTTGCGGTTTTGGCTTGTGTAGTGATTAGTACGATGTCGGAGGGAAACATTTGGGAATATTATTGAATGAGTCTTGTATCTGCTATTGCTGTAGTTTTCCAGTTAGTATGAAAAGCTTAAGAAAACGTTGCAAAATTATTACGTTAAGTGCATCTGAGTGCAATTTTGATCCATGTTTTCGAATTTCCAAGTGAACTTCTCATCTGTGTTCGGATCAATACATCAACCTTACCCGAGTGTTTCAATTTTCGTTTTCTAGTAATACTTGGTGGCGTGGGCATGAAGTTCCCATTATTCATGATTCTTTTTTATATCTCTTCGTGCAGTACTAATGCTTGCAAATGCTTGGTTTCCGCTTTCTAGGGCAGAAAGCAATGACATATTGTAACACTATAAAGCTCCTCTGTTTTCTGCGCTATTAGGCCAACTTGAGTAGCTGTACGAGTAGCTGTACTAAATCTAGAATTCTACTTCTGCACTATCTTATCAGGAAACTGAACGAATACATGAATGATTACATTTAGGCCATGATATTGTTGGTGCTCTAGTGTTTCTATCTCAACACGATTGCAATTCTACGTCTATGATGTCATTTTCCTGTTATGACGGAGGTAGCACCGCAGAGTGAGAATTTCGGGGAAAGAATTCATGTTTTCTATAGGAATATGTGCATACCCTATTTTGTCTCTTGCTGGGATGTACGTAATGTATCAAGATGTAGAGATCAAACGATGCGCGTGAAGAATCAGTTCAAGAAGTAATTCGGTCGTTGTTGATTTATGTGTTCTTTGTCTTGGAAATATACAACCGAATGTACCAGCTAACAGTGCCGACATGCTTTCCGTCCTCTGTTGAGAGTAAATCGAGCTGCCTGGCTCGCATTAGGTGAACGGGACATTGTTTTGTAACGGTGGTCAGCATGGAGTTCTTGCTGAAACACACTGCGTTTCTAACCCAATGGTATCTAGGTAATGGTTAATGCATGTTTTGAGTTCAATTTTGAAAATACAATACAGCATGTTTTGTGTGGTTTCAGGTTCGTTGCCACAGTGATTTCTCGCATTGCTTATTGATTTTTCCGCCGTCATCGCAGGGAGGTTGGAGGACCAGAGGAACGGCAAAAAAACAATGGGTGGGATGTGGGCTTACCTAACAGGAAGTCCTGGCCCAAGTGGCTTTGGATCGCGTTCCACTGCGGAAGATGTCACTGCTGGGATCAATCTCAGCTCCAAGACGATCATCATAAGTGGTAATACTTTCGTCTCTAAACGTGTATTATACTTGCGAGCTCGCTTGAGAAGGGCAACAAATCCTCTTACGTGTTGTCAGTATATCATGTGGTCTGTTTAGATGATGGTTACGGAATATTGTTGCAACTAATTGGAGGTTGAAACGCATACCTATTTCGTAGAAGAGAACGTTCCTCCCACTTTACAGCGTCCAACCCATGAAACTTCATAATCGTTTTAGATGTCCTTCTGATGCATGACCTAATTTAGCGCAGAAATTGTAATCTTATAAGGCTTAGCACAATTGATAATAAGCCCAGTATAAACCTAAGATATGTCGGTAGGAATTTTATCTATCGATTCGTCCTTTCTACAGGAGCAACTTCAGGGATTGGGAAGGAGGCAGCTACCGTGTTGGCCAAAAGAGGGGCTCACATAGTTATGGCCATACGCAATCTGTCAACTGGAGAGGAAGTCAAGGCAGCAATTATGGAGGAAACCCCTAATGCTCGGGTGGATGTTATGAAGCTTGACCTCGCATCTTTGGCATCAGTCCGACAATTTGCTGAAGAATTCAAAGCACGAAAACTTCCCCTCAACATTCTCATGTATGGCGATCCATGACTTCGTTTTATGAATTTACTGGCAGATGTTGTCTGAGTTTGCGCAAGTTCACTAGGGGTTCCAATGGCATGAATTGAAACTCGTTACATAGTGACCAAACTATGACGGTTTAACTGAGGATTGGATTATGCTTCGCTATTGTTGTAAAGGAGACACGAGAATGAAACTTATACTTGCATTTTGGGAAGTGGCTTCCAACAGAAACAATGCAGGTTATATGTCAGGCCGGTTTGAGCTATCAAAAGACGGACTGGAGAAGGTTTTTGCTACAAATCACATAGGTCAGTGTGCCTAAGGCACCAAATCATCTCTTAATATTATGTCATCTAATTTTTATCTGTCACATTCAACCTTTGTCTTGGTACATTTGTCTCAAGTATTGAAAGTTGCCAACATAGCACATACAGAAAGGTAAGGAATGTAGACAGAGGTAGTTATTTCGACAATTGCAATTTGCTGCAGAGCAAGAGTACGCATTGGTAACATTTGATTGCAGTGTTATTGCAAACGGTACTGAAATGTTCCGAATGACTTTGCAGGCACTTTCCTTCTGACGAAGCTTCTACTTGATACTTTGAAATCTACTGCCGAGGAGACTGGAGAGGAAGGTCGTATAGTGAATGTTGCATCAGAGGCTCATAGATATGCCTACAAGGGAGGGGTTGTCTTTGATAAGCTGAACGACTCAACCAGGTATATGTCTAAATTGACTTGTCTGACATTTTGAGGTTTTCTATCTGTATGGTTCTAATCGATCTGTGATGGCGTGAGCAAAGGTAATGGTGTTCTTGAATTCGCACTTTCATCGTTCTTCAGATCTGAATGTGGCAGAAGCAGAATTTGTTTTGTAGGCATGGATTCTTCACATGATGTTCCAAATTCTCCTTTAGGATCATCCAAGCCCGAGCTATGAGACACTTAGAAAGAAAATTTTGTAGTTATTATACAATGTTCATAAGAATCACCTGGTTTTAGCATCTCTTGTATTGTGTTTTTGAAAGTTCTACTCCATTCTTTTCCTCATTTTTCTGAAGTTTGTTGGTATGAGCAGATATCAATCAAACATGGCTTACGGACAGTCTAAACTAGCTAATATTCTGCATGTAAAGGAGCTCGCAAAGCAATTGAAGGTAATTTTACTTTTAAGATGCCGTTGAGTCTCCTTTGAAATGTACTTCTAGGTCTGTAATATCATGCTACAAGTTTAGCCATGGTGAACGAAAAAAATGCTCCAATGTGACAAATTGTTTTTGAGGAAGAGAAGCTGGATCTTTGAGCCTCCGGATTGCTATCAAATTATGCATGCTTCTACGTGATTGTTCAGGAAAAGGGAATAAATGTTACAGCTAACGCACTTCATCCCGGTGTTATTTCCACAAATTTTGGGAAGGGGCAGAGCTTCATATTCAGTGGTAAAGGCTTCAACCTTAGAATTACAGAAAACTTTTTAGGATAATTTTATTCAGCTCCAACAAATGTAATATTTTCAGTAGTCACAACACGCCCTTGAGTATGTTGTTTTCGCATTTGATGCAGATTAACGATGTGCAAGTCCAAGCTAGAGTTAGCTTGATTAACCTGTATAATTATCGTTCGAATTTCACAGCTGATTAGTTTGGCTGATATCTCTTGATGTTATAGCGATAGTTTCCAATGATTTACCCTTTCAATGAGCTAACTTTTGCGCTTGTCTTCGCAGATGCAGCGTTGTCCCTAGTCAAGTTTGCTCTGAAAACAGTACCTCAGGTAGTGGTCTACGCCGTTCTTGAAACTGTAATTTGCTGAAGGAAGTGTTGTCTTGAAAGTGTTCTTATTCAAATCTTCGCCGTCTTTGCACATGATATTCATGCAACTGTGTCTTGAGAAGTGAGGAGTTTATTTTCTCATTCGACCGAGTATTCTTAACGTGTTCATGAACTACAGGGTGCTGCAACTACATGTTATCTTGCCACGAGTCCTCAGGTCAATGGAGTGTCTGGACAATACTTCAAAGATTGCAACATCTACCCATATGTCTCGTCATACGCTAATGATCCAAAGCTAGCAGCAAAGTTGTGGGAATTCAGCGAGGAATTTGTCTCCACACACTGAAGGGCTTTTTCTTAGAGAGCGAGACTATTCAGAGATAGACATATGTTCATGCAATCTGGTGTAGGAGAATTTGATTCTTAGAGTTTCAGGATGGGACTTTTCCAGATGTGTATACTTATTCTTCTGTAGATGTCGACAATAAAAATAGGTACTAGGTTTCATACCACATTGAGTTTATAGAACAGTGTTGGGAAAATTGTAGCACGTTCTGGTTTTGTAGTATTCTCAAGCACGACTTTCATGTTGAAGACAGTGGATAGTTTTTAGGTAAATCGATTGCAGAAGATTTAGGGGAAAATAATCAGTGCTTCACTAACATCACTTTTTGTGGTGTTTGACGCTGATGATGTACAACCTTAATTCTTGAAATTGTTCAGAGTTGGTCAAGATAGGTTTCTACACAGGATATTCTGTGTATGTGGGTATACGCAGCATGCTTCATGCAGGGTCAGCAATTTATGCTCTACATGTGTCAGCTTTTCACCTTTGTAGTGTGGAGTCAATCCATAAGTATGCTCAACAATCTTAATGCACATCCCAAAATTTCATTCCTTGGTAACCCATGTGCATTATTGTTGTATTGCTTGCTTTTGCAGGTGCTGTCCAGTCATGCATAGTTCATGAAACCTTCTGTAAAGTATAAACTGACAGCTCCTCTGCAGTTATCCCTCTTGTGTATTGAACCTGGGCTTCACATGGGTTGAGCTTAGTAAAACAATAATATATTTATATATATATATATATATATATATAATACTTGAGTCAATCCTCCTTGGTTTTGCTGCTGCATCAGCTTCTCCCAGGTCTGATGAAAGGGTCATGCATGCTACAAAAGGAACAATGATGCTTAAGTTGCAGATTGGTAAACTTGACCAGTTAAGCATGGAGAATGAGAGCAGTGTGCCATATTCATGATAATACATGTCAGTTACATCACTTTCTTGCAACTGTTTTGATTACCAGTGTAACTAAAGGCAGATAGTTTTATGATGCACTTAATTTATTTTTATGATTTCTTTTAAAGGGGAAGAAAATAAAAGAAAAACGCTCTAAGGTAAGGTAGACAACCCATTTCCAATAACTTAAGCATTTCAGCATATATCTAATAGGTGTAAAAATGGAAAAAAATAAAAATAAATATACTTCCATATAGGGAAATAGAAATCAAGAGGATTTCAAGTGTTTTCATACAATTTGACCCAAAAATGGAATTTATAGAAATGTTCTAGATGAAGATTCTCTTTGATCCATTTTGGACATATAGGCCTACCTAATTTCAATCAATGGTGGGTTACAAAACAAATAATCCAACTTTTGCAAAACTGTGATGTGTAGTGCCTATTAATGCTATCAAGAGAAGAGGGGCACTTAATTATACTAATATACCACCGCAACCAATCAACAATTTCCACCTATTGATAGTTCACACATACCTATTCCAAGTACAATGAATTTTATTTATTGCTCATAGCTTAAAATCATTTTAACAACCCCCAACCCATTTGTAATCAATGGATGTCAGACCTGCTCATTGGACAAACGGAAATAGCTCACCCTATATGTTGAAATTGGGGGGGAGGGTTGACAATGGGTCTGCTACCTTACTTTTTCTTCTGCAATAAACAAATACAACAAAAAAAAATCAAGATAGAAATATCTCTTTCTACCATCTGTTATATGGACATTTGGGTATTCAATTAACCATTGTGAAAACGAGTTTCTGCACCAACATAATGAAGAATACAACAATCTAGATAATTCATCCTCAAATTGTGTCATTGGAACATTTGCATGCAACTGATACAGAACTTGAACATTAAAATTTTCAGCTTCTGAAGACATTTCTATCCTGTACCAGGTCTACAAAAATAGGGTTTTGAAATCTAGACCTGTTGTTCACAATAGAAAGGAGATACATGTATATTTTAAAATTTGAAGTTCCAATTAAGAAGACTCAACGCATGTTTTGAAGATGACTTATTTCTTATTACTTTATTAACTTTATATTAGAATTTGATAATGTGCTAGTCACCTGCTCACCATCAGTCCAAAGCTCTGATTCCCATATTGAAAATGGCATTATCCTTGCCTTCAAGTTTGTTCCTCTCCAAAGTCAAACCTGAAACTTTTTGAACACCCTTGTGAATTTTTGACTATGAATCCTATCACCAGAATATACTGAATTTTGAAACCAACTAGATACTGAAAAGTATTGTTTGAACCCAGCTTTTATGGCTTAAACTATGCTTTTAATGGAACACTAATAAATAAAATATGAATGGTAGTGGGGGTGATGTGGCTAGACCAAGTCTGTTCTTAGCAAACCTTAGCGCTGTTGTTTATTTCAGGCCATGCTCATCAACACAAAGAAAGATGCTAATGATTTGGTCCAACTATTCAAATGTGGACTGGCTGCAGTCAACACATGTTTTGCACCACATTTTGCTACACACCACTATTTTTTGGAACACGCTTTAAATATTTAGATAGGACCGTTTGACAAATGTTCATGCCACAATTTTATTCCAATACAGCATATTCTTTGAATAATGAATTTGATTAAAATTAATACAAAAAATTAAAATTAAAATTGAAATTGTTTTCTTAATCCGAAATACTAAAATTCAATAATAAATAGAGCTTGCGACAAAAGTATATAAATTATTCATAGATAAATTGGATAGTAATATATAAAATGCATTAAAAATATTAACTGTGAAATTACTTGATGCTTTTTGTGTTCAGCTACATAAGTTCCTACATTATTACACTACTAAAATTTTGCAGTACTAAAATGGTAGAAAATCTAAATTCTTGTGAATTTTGAAATAATATATTAAAAATAAAATGACAAATTATAAATATAAAATTGCAAGGTATCCTAGCTATTCTACCACATGCAGACAATAATTGAATTTATAAAATTCATTTTGAATATTTTATTATCTTTTAAATTAGGTTATTTTAAATATAGGAAACTGTTTAGCAAGCTAAATTGTTTTTTAGTTCTATATTGATTGGTTAGAGGTTAAAGCTTTGGCTAATACATGCAATATTATTGTGCAAAATTTGTTTGTTTGTTTGTTTGTTTTTTTTTTTTTTGTTTTTTGTTTTTTTTTTTATTTGGACAAATGAAATATGAAAAATATTCAATAAATTTTAATCATTGGTTATTATAATGGTATAATATTAACATATTATTTCTATTACGATGACAAGGTTATTTCAAAATAACTAATTTTATCTTTTTATTTTTAACTAAGAATTTCGATTTGCATTTCCTGGAAAATTAGAATTTAGAATAAATTTCAATGAACTGCAAATCTGTAATGCATCATCGAATTTAAATTTTTATTTCAAAATAAATTTTCATTCAAAAATTTAGAAAATAAATTTTGCTGAATCATTCTTATTTTTTAAATTTGTCGTCAGTCAAAAATAAAATTTTCTTTCCCAGAAATTCATTCAATCAACAAACTTCATCAACAGACTGAAAAATTTAGCCAATCAGCGAATTTCAAGGAAACACACCAATTTTTTTCATATATAAAGTAGATTAAATACTCCATTCTCATTGGTTGAAATCAAAGAAATTATTAACCAACAAAAAGCCCTACATAACCTATAAAAAGACTTCCAATTTATCATGTGTAAATAATTGTTTTGGGCACTAGTTTCCACTAATTTATATAACAAGGAAATTTGGGTATAAGACAAAGAGATAAAAAAGCCTTCTCATTGGCTAAAATCAAAGAAATTGTTAAGTAATAGAAAGTCCAATATAACCTTCAAAAGACCTCTAGTGTATATATACATGTATAGGAATTAATATGTTGACCAACATTGTCCTCTTCGTTCTTTCTTTTTTTCTAATAAGCAGGTAAGGACTATGACACAGATTGTGGACAAAGAGAGGAGGTTCTGACAACATTAGCCAACATAGAGCAGCAATGGCAATTGCTTTGCTTGCATATCTAGCAATAGAACTTGCCTCATCTGCTAGCAATTTGATGTTGCTACTGAGATGAGTAGGGGCGAGCTAGTTGGGCTAAGATAAAATATGGCTAAAGCAACAAAGGAGGGCAAAGGAGGACAAGTCACTAGCCCGTTCTGCTCAATGTGCCCCATCCAACCTCTCTAGCTCTCTCTCCATATTCAATCCCTTCAATGCTCTTCTTCCTTGCCATATCCAATTCTACCCAATTTGGCTTGGTCTAAGTTTGTTTTTTTTTTTCAAACATAATTTTAAACCTAGTCAATTTAGAAGAAACCTTGGTCAATATATCCATTCCATGTATATATATAAATAAATAAATAAATATATTTATATGAATGAATAAATAAAGATGAATGCTAATGTCACCCCAATTTGCCATCTAATAGTTTAGTTTTTCTTAGTTATTATTATTATTTTTTAAAATAATTTTTTTTGTTCAATAAAATAGTTTTAACAATGTAGGATTTAGAAAATTTGATTAGTATAAAAGATATTGAAAAAAATGATATGTGATGGATAGTAGCAAAAAATTGTGGTGAAATTAATAATACCCTATACATATACTTATACATCAACTTGTTTTATTCCAAGTGAGTGAACATCTTAATACAACCCAAACATAACGCTAACAGAGGATGAAAACGAGAAACATCACCAAACGAAACAAAAACATGAAGGTAGAGTCTGCATGAAACCCACGAGAAACGTCTGCATGCTCCAACATATTCAAGATCTGAAACAGAGAGTGCAACCAAATGGCATGTTGACCACAGCAAAGTCCAACTCGATTCCGCCAGGCTAGACAGTGGTCTAGCGACGCCGAAGATAAGGTGCACCAATATAGAAAGATTCTCATGGGAATGGTGCAGAAACCAATGGCTGCAGTTGTTCAGATTCACCCAACACTTAGGAGCCACGTATATCAGCATCTATTTCCGCACGTAGCTGGGCGTAAATGTGTCAACTTTTGAAGTTCAGCTCGTTCACGAAAGCACCACACGATTTGTAGAGACTTCAAACCAGCATTAGCTGGTCCACATTGACCCGGATTATAATAAGGTACCAGGGATAGGGTTAGGGGGCTGGAGGATTCAACACTTCGGTGAAGCGGACCAGATGCTCCTCTAGTTTCAAACGACCGCCGGGCTGGACTAGATCTAGATTCGGTGCTTAAAGCCGAAACACCACCTGGGGGCTCCGCAGGACTACGTATTTGCGGGTCATTCGGTCTTGTGGGCATGACTGCATTGCAGCAGCGACTCTCGGTAGAATGAACATAGAATAATTGGCAAGGAAAATTGGTTGAGGCTTGGGGTCGCGTCGACTGCTGGACTCGGCCTGGTTTGAATATACTGTCCACTTCCTTTTAGTGGACAACTGTGAGAGACTCGTTCTAGTTTTCTTTTTGTTATTTGCCTCCTTCTACTCGCATTCTTTGCTGGTTCAAGCTCAAGGTGTACTTTCTGTACCGTGGGTGGACTATATTGAGGAACGGCTGGATTAGGCGTCTACTTTGCAGTGGATCAATCTTGTTCACGGGATGTTCGAGTTTGTGAAATTGATGGTACTGTTGCTGGGGTTGAATTGTGAGAGGAATAACGGTAATAGTTTTCGAAGACATAGTCTGGAGATGGTAAACTAAGTGAGGAGGGATTGGTTTGTAGGTGTAGATTCGAGGGGTTCAGTGGGTTGCATATACATCTCGAAGGATAAGCTGATAGGGGATAGTTCACAAGCATTTGAATATGGCTCTGGGCAGCAGCCTGAAGGCGTTCAGAGCATCGCTAACATTACGGCGGTCTCGGTTGATCAAGCCGCTGAGTAAAGCAGCCAAGCAAGCAGAACTGCAGGTTCCGCCGTATTTCCTGTGCCCAATCCACTTGGATGTCATGCTAGATCCCGTGACCTTGTGCACAGGCCTCACGTATGATCGCAGTAGCATAGAGAAGTGGCTTCGAACTGGCCACAATACCTGCCCTGCTACAAATCAGGTCCTCCAAAACCAAGATCTCGTTCCTAACGACACTCTTCGTCACACCATCAAAGCCTGGTGCGAAGCCAACAAGTTGCAGCTTCGAATACCCACCAGAGTGGATCCTGAGACAGTAAGCGAGATTCTCCGCAGCATCGCCCAACGCGATACCAGCGTCGGTGTATCCTTGAAGAGGATCTCTGAGATTGCGAAAGATTTCGAGAGTAATAGGGAGTATATCAAAGATGCTGGAGGAATCGCCATACTCGCTGGAGCTTTGGCCCATTCAACCACGAATGAGCTCCTTTATGTGGACGCTATTAGTATACTGTCCCTACTGCCGCTTGATGATGAAGACATAAAAGTTCTGGTGGCTAATCGGGCAACACTTTCAACGATATTTTCAGTTCTTGCGTCTGGAAGCGCGAGCTTGGACGCAAAGGTAAGTGCCGCTGAAGTGATATACACTGTCTGCGGAGAGGGTCCTATGCTGAAAGAATTAGTGGATGACTGCCCTGAGGCAGTCAAAGCACTTTTAAATCTGCTAAGAGAAGATGCGATCCTACCGCGACCGAATTCAGTTGAGGCCGTTTTGAAATGCTTGTTGGCCATAAGCATACCAAAGAAGAATCGTGTTAAGCTTATCGAATGTAGAGCTATCTCCGTTCTCGTAGAACTCATCCCCAAGGTTGGGACGCGCAACGTGGAACACTCGTTTGCAGTTCTGGAGGTGCTGGCCAACTGCGCCGAAGGACGGGAAGCGATCTCCAACCACTCTAGTGCCATCGTAACCATTGTCGACTCAATGGTGGGAGTTTCCTATCAGACGACGGACCATGCAGTTGCGGCACTGGGACAGGTTCTCTCGCTCGCATCCAACCGAACCGTGATCAACACGGCGTTGCGTGCGGGTGCTTTTACGAAGCTCCTCATGCTTCTACCCAGTGATTACAGTCAACGTTCGAAGAAGAAAGCCCGGGAGACTCTCAAGTTGCTCAACGAGGTCTGGGGGAGCTACACATTTCGAGCCAACGTGGATTCCGGCATCGTCATCCACCGCCGCGACAGGATCAAACAATGGTCACTCTTTAGCGCCGAGTCTTGATGATCATCTGCCGACCTCGTACAATGCTGTTAGAAAACACCAGATTTTCCTAAGTAGCAAGTATATCGTAGTTTTGCCGTACCAACGAATTTATTGCCACACCAAAAAACCATTCTTTTCTGAGAGCTAGTGATGGAGGAGAAGCTCGTCAAATTCTTTTTGGGTGCTCTGCCGACAGGGGGTCCCTTAGTCATCAGTGGAGTGCTCAATTCGCACTGCTTGGTGGAAGTCTGGAAATGGGTGCTTGGTGCAGCATTCAATGACTTACTACAAGCAGGGTCACAAACTGACATGTAAGATACCACGACACACATGTAAATAGCCGAGTGAAGTCACCAACCTCTCTGTCTGGTTTGGTTGATCATGCGGACACACAAGATCTTGTTTCATCTGAAATAATCTTGTTCGTGACTTGAAGGCTTCATGTTCACTGAAACTTCTAAGTTAGGTCTCGAAGTTTCAATGATTGTAGTATATAATATAACTTGGGGAATGTTAAATACACCCATGATTTTACTAAATCAACCCACATTTCATGATGAATATGGTAATCATGATTAATGAGTTTGGTTTTTATTGGTAGTAGATCCAATAGTGGAGAAATGAATCTAGAAGTTATTTATTTTTTTCATCATGGTTAGGATGGATGAATCGATTTAGTAAAAACCTGGGTCTATTTAACATTCACTTGTAACATAAGCAAGCTAAATTTAATTGGCAAGCTAAATAATATTATCAAGGAATAATTTGAATCTATGGTTGAAATATCTACATTCAATAATTATATAGAAAAATGATATCTTTTAGTTGCTATATCTTTTGTATCATAATGTCAAAATAAATCCTACAAAACTAAAATGTGTACACAAATTTTATAATTCTTATTGTTAGCATATATAATCCAAATTGTCTTTATTTTATTAAAACATAGTAAAATATTATTTCATTATATTATACTTTACATTAAATACAATAGTTAAACATAATATTTATGAATCTTTGAATAAAAATTTATACAATAGAAGATAAATATTAACCAATTCTATAATCTCTACCTATTCTATAGCTTCTCATATGACAATTATTATAGTCACTCTTAAATCTTTTATAACTTTTTTTTATATTTATTACATCCACCATGCTTATTACATGATCTTATTAAAATAAGTCTAACATAAAATATTGAATAACATAAAATATTGTTAAAATTATGCAATAGAAAAAATACTGGTACATATTATAAAAGCCATGAATTACCATCTAATATATATCTTTAATTTTTTTTATAATACTAGTGTCTAGTAAAATTGTATACAAATTTATAATGATATTATAGAAATAGTACTAATTTAAAAAATTTATCATTAATTATTAATTAATTAATTAATTTTTAAATATATATAATTTTTAAAAAATAAAAAATAAAATATAATTAATTTTAGTAACTTTTCTTATAAATATTATATATTTATACAAAACACCTAAATCACCAAGACCATCTTTTGAATTGTTTTTATCTTTATGTATATTCTTGTTTTTAGACAGCAAATTAAACTTCTTTAATTATTAAATATACATCTTAAAAAATGCTTTTGTCATGGATATACATACATATTTTAATAAATATCTATATGATTAGATAGAAGTATGTAAAAATACATAAAAGTAGATTAATTTCATAGTTTCTTTTAGAAAAGCTTCTTAGAAGCTTTATAGATGCTACTTTGACTTTACATGTGTTTATAGTTGATTGGTAGGTTAGATGCCCTTATTGGTAGGTGCAATAGCTTTCATGCATGCTGCAAAAGAAAGATCATCTTTTGCTATATATGCCATACCCATTTTTGATAGTGAAAAGATATTAAGTAATATTCCTAGCTAGTATCTAGATTTCAAAGATGTTTTAAAAAGAAAAATGTAGATATTTTTCTGAGACATCATCCTTATGATTGTTCCATCAATCTTCATAAAGGAGTTCAACCACCATTTGGACCAATCTATAGCCTATTATAAAATAAGTTAAGTACATTCAAAAAGTATAGTAATAAGCACTTGGCTAAGAATTTTATACACCATTCTAAATCTCTAATTGGAACTCCTATTTTATTTGTGAAGAAAAAAGAAAAATCTTTGTAAATAAGTGTGGACTATCAAGGACTTAATAAGATCACCATCAAAAATAAATATCCTCTACTTTTGTTTTCAAGACTTTTTGATGAATTCAATCAAGCAAAGATCTTTACAAAAATAGATCTAGAAGGAGCATATAATTTGATACGCATTAAAAAAAGAGATGAATGGAAAATTATATTTCAAATTAGGTATGGATATTTTGAATATAATGTCACGCCTTTTGGATTCACAAATGCACTAGCTCTTTTTTAATATCTAATGAATGATGTTTTTTGTAAGTTCTTTGATGGTTTTATTGTTTGTTATTTGAACAACATCTTAATCTAATCTAAGAATATAAAAGAACATGAATTTCATATTTTTCATGTATTACAAAAACTTAGAGATGAAAGATTATATGCCAAGTTAAAAAAGTGTGTATTCCATACTACTCAAGTTGATTTCTTAGGATACATTATTTCCAACAAAAAACTAATGATGGATCTGAAGAAGGTCCATACTATCATAGATTAGAAGATTCTAATAATAGTGAGAGATATGCAATGCTTTTTGGACTATGTCAATTACTATCAAATCTTTGTCAAGATTTTTTTTTTTTTTTTTTTTTTTTTTTTTTTTTAAGTTGCAGCTTTATTTACATATTTGACTTATAAAGACAAACTTGAGTGGAGTAAAAAAATTAAAACATCATTTGATAATTTAAAAAAAATAATTACTTTTGTACCAACCTTATGTCATGTTGACTTCTCCAAGGCATTTTTTATGGAAACAAATGCATTAGACTTTGCCTTAGGTGTTACTGTCACAAATGGGAGCAGATGACAAACTCCATTCAATAGCTTTTTATTCTAAATTTTTTTAGCAACCAAGATTAATTATAAGATCCACAACAAAATATTCTTTGTAATTATGGATTCATTTAAAGAATGGCATTATTATCTAGAAAACATCTTGAATCTAGTCACCATATATATAAATCATAAGAATCTTGAGTACTTCATGTCGACACGTATTTTGAATCATTGCAAAATTTGTTGGAGTATGTCTTTATTAAGATTTGATTTTAAGATTATTTATTGATCCAAAAAATAAAAAGGTTTATTAAACGCCTTTTCTAGATGTTTTTATCTTGTACCAAAAGAAAGAGATGTATCTTTTGATCAACAAAGTATAATTCTCTTGAAGTTGGAGTATTTTCTCATTTGAGTAATACAATCAATATTGACTATTGATTCAATTTTTGTCAATTAAATTCAATCAAGTATGTCTTCTAAACTTCTTATCCATGATATCAAGAATAATTCTTCTAAATCTCATGATACTTCCAAATTCAAGTTCAAGAATAACCTACTCTATTTTAAAGGATAATTATATATTCCAGAAAGAGAAGCATAATTACATGTTCTTCAAACTTATCATGGCTTTTTAGCAGTTGGATATTTTGGATACAACAAGACTTTGGAACTAATATCGAGAGATTTTTGGTGGCCTCAAATGTCGAAAGAAATTAAAGACTTTATATAATTATGTGATATTTATTTAAGATCCAAAACTCCTTACTGTTAATCTTATGGACTTCTTTAGCCATTATCTATTCTAGAACAATCATGGTCTTTTTTTTCTATAGATTTTATTACAAAACTTTAAATTTTAAGTTTATATTATTTTATATTCATAATAATAGATTATTTTATCATGATGATACATTTTGTACCATATATAAAATCTAACATATGTAAAGAAATCACTAAGCTTTTTCTTGATACATCTATTACTATCATGGATTACCTAAAGTTATTATATTGGATAGGAGGACTCAATTTATATTAAGATTTTGGAAATTTTTTTATAATATTTTAAAGGTGGATATAAAGCTCTCTTTGGCTTTTCAGCATAAAATTGATAGACAAACGGAACAAATGAATCAAGTTTTGGAGCAATATTTGAGGTATACCATCAATTATCATCAAGATGATTGGACAACTCTTTTACCATTGGCAAAGTGTGCGTATAATAATTTGATACATTCTCCTAGTCAATAAACACCTTTTTTTGCCAATTATGGTTATCATCTATGACTTGATACTTTTAAATTTTTAAAAGTTAATAATATTATAGCGTAAAATTTAGCAAATCTTTTATGAGAGCTACATACAATAATGAAGGCATAGCTTGATACTAATCAATAGTTTAAAGTGGAAGAAATCTTAGATTTAAGGTGGCAATGAAATAGATTAATATATCTTATTTTTTAGTGTGGATATGATATTAGTGAACAAAAAAGGGAGCCAACAAGAATCTTACAAATGTAGCAAAGAGAATTGAAGCTTTTTATCAATGACATCCATTAAAATTAAGATAAAGAATAACAAATCTTTGTTGTAAAAAAAACAAGATCCAACAAAGATTACATTCTATTTTTTATCCTTTTATGTAGCTTTTGTGTATATGTAATACTAAGAAGACGGAGAACCAACAACCAATAGATTCAAGTCAAGAGCTTTCACTTATTGACTTATTCGATGAGACATTGTGATTGTTACAACCTTCAAAATGATATAATTAAGATGAAAAACATTAAAAATAATATATCTTTTTTAAAATAGATGGCAAGATACAACATATTTGTTATCAAGACCTTAAAAGAGACTTTTGATGTTTGGTGATTTTATTAGAGATAAAAACAATTCCTGACAATGTTTCAAATGTTTTATTTGAAAGAAGTTATAAAGGCCTCAACAATGATCAAATAATAGGGTGGTCTTCTTGCTTTGGTGTGAGATACTATCAATGGCTAAGAGGACTTATCAATTATCTTCAAAGAGAAAAAAGATCAAAGTATGTGATAAATATAATTTGGCCCATCTTGGATTTCATGAATACATGATGACTGTTCTTTATGGAACTCATTCCTAGAAAAGAGGGGATAACATCATGAATATAAGTACATATTCTAATAAATATCTATACAATTAAATAGAAATAGATAAAAGTAAATAAAAATAGATTAATTCATTATACCTTCTAGACAAGCTTTTTAAAAGCTTTATAGATGCTGATTTGATTTTACATGTATTTGTAGTTGATTGACAGGTTAGAAACTTGGTCAACAAGTTAACCACATGTTGATAGGTTGCGAAAGAAGCTAACTATATGGTACACATATACAAAACTTACTTTATAAGTTAAGATATGTGTCTTGTAAAGTCAACACATTTTAGAGGTCCTATAGGATATTGCCATGTGGTTCTTAGTTAAGAATATATATAGAGACAAGAGTGAAGTCTTCTTCATTCTTACTAATGCTTTTCTAGTCTTTGGTCTTGAATCAAGACTTTCTAATGTTATTGTCTTTGGCAATAGTCATTCTAGTTTAATACCATATTATCTTTAAGTGACTTTTTAATTCT